TGTTTGTGTGGCATGTTTTTGTTTTTGATTTAATGGGGTTTTATGTTTGGAGTTTTAACCGTGGGTCCAGGGGGGGGGGGGGGATATCTCAAGGAACCACCCTGTTCTGCCGTACATCTTTCTTTCGATGTAGCATATCATCAGCCGTAGTCATACAGGACGAAGATAACACAGGGCCTCTCTGTTGTTGTGAATACCCACAGATAAACGGATTTCCAACCGCAGGTTGCACAATGCTACTCCCGAAAGATAGATTAAGATTCCAAGCCACAACCTGCTACGAACTAGTGTATGTATCCCAGCAGATGTACGAAGTTATTGCACGCACTCTTTAGACTTTAGATCACCGGGGCGATCGGACTTTACATCACCGGGGCGATCGGCTCTTATCATCTTGAAACTACTTATGTTTTGCCGTAGCCCTGTGTGCCCCTGTCTGGCATATCCAACACATATACTGAAAGGTGTGTACACTGGCGCCAGACTAGAAAGCACGAGCAAACACACATGTAGATACATCTAGGGATTGATTTCCCAGCCATCTGGGCGGCTACAAGCTGCTGCTTGCTGCTGTTAGTCTCCCTCCTTGGGAGCGTTAGTCTTTTACGTGATGACTGCGAAACGTGTTCGAAACTCGAATATTTATTCTCGAATTCCACCAAGTGAATTGTGTGATGATCACATACAGTATAGATGCTTATGTCCATGTTTCTTCGAAACTCTACAAGACGTTCGAATTCCATCATGCGGCTACCTTTCTGTCGCAATATCTCCTCCTCTGTATTTGAAACTGTACACTACAAGATGTTCGCAAATACAATATGTTCGAATTCCGTCATGTCGCAATCTTTCTAGTTCTTTCTACCGGAACCTGCCTATCATTGAGAGGCACCCACCCGCTCTATAGCTCAGCCCCCACCTTTCCACACATGCACACACCATCTCTCAAACAGCCCGTAACATGCGCGCCCTCTCCAAAATATAGTTACCGCGTTTTCGACGGCGGGCGTGGGGGTTCAGGCTCCAACAATTTTCCAGTTCCAATCTTCGTAGAATGGAGGAGGGGGGCGGGAGAAAAACATCAACAAAACCTTCGCAGAATCGGTACACTGAATTGTACATGCGGGTTTGGAGTCTACAGGAGTATGGCGTACCAGATCCTAGGAGACGGGGACTGAAACCATTTCTTCAGCCGCATTGTTGTACCCGGTATCGATGTTCTCAGCCCTCGTTCTACAACCAAAGACTCTTTTCTGACTACATAGGTGCCCTTGGTGTGCATGTGCGAATCGCACATCCTCCACGCGGCACTTTTCCTCATCACCACCGGCCACTTCAGAGTGAACATAAATATTTCCAGCGTAAATCATGAGAACGAGAGCGTCTGTTCAAAGTCCGATCTACATTTGCAGCTGTACTTTTTGTAAAAGTTCACACCCTGTACAACTTTAACTATTCACTAACTAAGTTAGTTGTTTGCCAGACAACTACCGCCTAGGTGCTCGTAAACACCTAGTTGCGCACGCTCCTGAAAGAGTAGTTGTCGACAGGCAACTAGGTGCTCACGATTCTGGAAGAGTAGTTGTCTGCAGGCAACTAGGTGCGCACGCTCCTGGAAGAGCAGTCGTCTTCAGGCAACTACTGCAGGTGCGCACGATTATGGGAAGAGTAGTTTTCTGCAGGCAACTATGTGCGCACGCTCCTGGAAGAGTAGTCGTCTTCAGGCAACTAAGTGCGCACGATTCTGGAAGAGTAGCAGGCAACTAGGTACTCACGATTCTGGAAAAGTAGTTGTCTGCAGGTAACTAGGTGCGCACGCTCCTGGAAGAGTGGTTGTCTCAGGCAACTAGGTGCGCACGCTCCTGGAAGAGTAGTTGTCTGCAGGCAACTAGGTGCGCATGCTCCTGGAAGAGTAGTCGTCTTCAGACTCAACTTTCTTATTCCACATTCCAGTCGACTTCCTATCACCTCTCTCCTACGTATAGCCTTTGGGCTTATACACTACATACACTCATGCCGTGCACAGCAGTTTTTGTTACTGGAATCTCGCCTGTTATTGTCCGGTCGTGCTCATCATCTTCAAAATGGTCGTGCCCATCAAGCTTGAGCGGTGGGCGAACGAGCTGTTTCAACCAGCAGGGTTCAACCACAGTAAGTACGCTGTCTCGCGCGGATGGCGCTATGTGCTACCGTGCTACCGTGCTATCAACTTGATACGCCACACCGTGGGGAGGGTTAAGCATGTGCATCACGTGGTCCATCTAGTGCCGTCTACAGCAGTACTGGCTCGTTGGTCTACCCGTGGCATGAAAAGGAGTCCATCATTCAAACCAATCAATTTATGTTCAACTTTAACTAATGACCAACTAAGTTAGTTGTTTGCCAGACAACTACCGGCTAGCTGTTCGTAAACACCTAGTTGCACACGCTCCTTGAAAATTAGTTGTCTGCAGGCAACTAGGTGCGTACGCTCCTGGAAAAGTGGTTGTCTGCAGGCAACTAGGTGCGCACGTTCCTGGAAGAGTAGTTATCTGGCAAACAACTACCAACTAAAGTGGTTGTACAGGGTGTGAAATTTTACCCTTCACTTGGCAGCAAAAAGTTCACCTTTCACTTGGCAGTCGTGTCATTTCGAGGTTGAATTTCATCAACCGCGCCACCACCACGTTGATGTACGCTTCCCGCAGTGTACGGTATTCGTCATGTCGGCACTCACTCCTTGTTATGTTGCTGCAAACTTGACATGAGCGCATGCATGTGCGACATTGGCAAAGGTTGGCACAGCAGCAGCGGCGAGAAACGTGATACCACACACAACATGAAAGCTTTCCTCTCTCCAGCCCCATATGTAGGTGTGTGCGTGTTTCACGCTAACTCCGAGTTTTGTATCTGGGAATAGAATCCGCGCAATGTCTCAAAGTTCTTGAACTTATCCCGCAGGAAGCGAAGCGGAAGGTATCGAGCAAGCAGGCAAGACTTTCTCCACGGGGGGCTCTCAACCGCAGCACATGCTTTCCTCCGTCAAAGACCCCAGATACCGGCCCGCTTTCAACCAGAGAACTGACGTTGGCCATTGATGTCTGGCGGTCTCCACCCTACCTACTGGTTGTGTTGCTATGATGACATGATGACTTTTTGAGTGAGATCACCCGGGTTTTCCATTCCTCGCCCACTGCTGTGGTTCTACTTTGGGGTACTTTCCCACAGGTCTCTCTCGGCCGGTACCGCACTGGCTGGCACCGTAGTCGTACACGGTTTGAGCGATGAACGTGCCGCCGATGGGGCCCGCGATGGCTCGCACGGAGCTCTCCAGCCTGCCCATTGCTCCGTCCAACCGGGATCGCCTCCTGAGGGCCGGGTTTCGCACCCTAAGAGACGTGGAAGGCGTTCAGCCCTTGGACCTTTCACGAGGTAGGGCAAAGTACACGTGCTGCAAGCGCGGCTGGATGTGCACCGGTATTTTTTTTTTTTTTTGCGGCGACGATGACGACTCTGCTGCAATGTTATTGCTGCGATGTTTCCGAAATGGGGGCGTTTTTCATGTGCGGCTCTAGCGTGCTCTTTGGCTGGTGTTTACGGTTTTTCGACGTACTCTTTCTCGACAATGTCTCTGTACGTATTTCACACAGCACCCTAGAAATCGTCCACCCGTAGGTGATGCCTCTAGGAACAACCTGTGTCTTCCCTCTGATTTCTGGCTGAGTTGCTGTTCTCTGTTTTTCGCGGCAAACCGATTCGCCAGTGTCCCTATTTTATCTTGTCCTTATACATGTGCATAGCTTTATCTTTTGTTTTGTCCAACGTTCTGGTTTGTCGGGTCCCCCTTGTAGGGATGGCTCCTACCTCCACTTTTGTACAAAGTGTATCCGTCGTTTTGTGTGAATGTCTTGTCTCCACAGATTCGTTGTCTTTGTGATACGGGAGAACAAATCATCCCCGCATGCGCGCCGGTGCCATTCGCTTCCACGGAAACAGCTACTGCTAGATACACTCGGCTTGCCTCTTTCTGCTTTCGCTCTTGGAGAGCGTTGCTACTGCCCCCCCCCCCTCTCCCGGTTTTGCACCATGCTACAGTTTGCCCGCACGTGCAACCTTGCACAGCAGTGCTTCCACGAATCACGCCCCTATTTTCCCGCACTCGCACTCTTAATCCTGCACCCACCCGCCCTCGTGCTCACTCCGGTAATGATGCGGGTGATGCCTCGCTCTCCTGGCGAAGAGCTCAAGGTTTCTTCGCAAGAGGCGTTGGCTATCCTCAGAGATATCTCCGCTGCCACGGGGGCTTCCGCGGAGGGTGGCGGCGACAACGGGGGTATGGGATCAGCGGCGGCGGCGGTGGCGGGAGGCGTGCTTAGAGGCGGCCTCGCGGGTTCGCAGGCGAGGGAAATGCGCTTGTCGTCTGTTTGTTGCTGCTGCACAGTACTGTCGTCACGTCTGTGTGGGTGGGGATGCCACCCTCTTTGATTTTCATTGGACTTAGTGTTGGTCGAGGTATAGGTTTGGTGCAGAACGGTCCCCAGTATGTATGTTTACGTGTGTCACCTGGAGACCCAACGTCTTGGCTTGTGGAGTTCGCCGGCTGTCGACCCTGGCAAACAACTCTGTTCTTTCCGTTTCCTCCAGTAATTTTCGTTTTCGCGTTTTTTTCTTGTTTCCTGTTTTGTTTCAGAGGAAATCCCGATCACTTGAATCGAGTAGATTGTGGTACAGCACTACGTACACCGCACGTGTTAGCGCCTTGACAACACTCTTCTTTTGGCGATGAAAGGTATTGTTACCCTCTGCCAGCAAGGGGTGAAGCGATTTCCGTGAGTATTGCCAGAGTCTTTTCTAATTATCACCGCCCGGCACGCGAGAGATATCGGTGTTGCTAAGGGGCGTGATACCCTCCCAGCCCCCCACCCCCTGGTTGCAAAGACTTCGGCTTACTTTTCTACCCCCAGCCACCATCCCACAATGTTGAAGACCCTCGCTTGCTTGTACGATCTTGGCCGTGGCGACTGGGCAGGCAGGAGCGTCGGCTCGAGAGCTCATCGTGCGGGGCCGGCACAAGAAGCCAATCATTACTTTCTGCCGAGAGATAGACGGCATGATGGGCGGAGGCGTGCCCAGGGGAGAGCTGACGGAGGTAGGTAGGAGGCAGACCCGTGAATGATGTGCTTCCTGTGGCGGTACGGCTTATGACGGTGGTTGTCCGCCCACTTTATCACTCAAACCGAGCAGCGATCATTTTTCGCCTGTGACTTCCTTTTTTTTAGAAAACGCCCAGCGCACTTACTCGGTGTTCGTTGGTGTCGATTGGCTGGGCTTCGCGGACGACCATTTACCAGCACCTCAATTGTTGCCAAGACTAGAACACCCCCTTTGCCTCGTGGCCACGACCACCACGCACTGCAGCCAATCATGTCCCCTAGATCCAGTCCTAGAACAGTTTGCGGGGCTCTTCAGGTAGGCAAACGCCTGCCCGGCGTTGCAAAATTTCCCGATCGATTGTTGGGATAAGAGCTTACCAGTACAAACTATTTCCCCACCCCCACGCTTGTTTTCCCTATTTACGAAACACCCTTCCGTCAGGTTTGCGGAACCCCGGGCGTGGGCAAAACCCAGTTCGGCATGCAGCTGGCGGTAGACGTGCAGATCCCGCACCAGTTCGGCGGCGTCGGCGGCGGTGCCCTGTACATCGACACCGAAGGAAGCCTTACCGTAGAGAGGCTGTCCCAGCTGTGCTCGGCGGTGGTGGAACACTTGCAAAAAATTGCCAGGGTGCGTGCGTGTGTTTTTCGTCGCGGGTCGATTTTTGCCAGGGTGGGGCTGTGTTTCATGCAGACGTTCGACATTTGGTACTGCTGGACTACGCATTAGTCTATAGGCGCGACGGGCCCTAGTACGCGCTAGGCTGCGGGAAGATGTTGTGCGCTGGGCGTACCGTAAAAAGAGTTGTGTTATAGTATAAGTAATTGTCAGTACACACCACGTACTTTTTAATATGCTGTTCCCGCAGGGCTTGTATGCTGAGAAGGTTCGTTTCACCAACAGCCGTGTTTCTCTTTCACTATTGTTCTTTTGCTTTTGTCCCGCATGCCGTGCATTGCCACAAAACTACGCACCCCGGCGCCCCTTGTATACCCTCTCCCCCTAGAACAAACGCAAGCAAGGAGTTCCAGACCTCGAGTCGGCGGTTCCGACGCAGGAGGCGTTTCTTGGTGGCATTCACGTCTGGCGGTTACACGACCACGCCGAGCAGTTGGCCGCGGTGAGAGCTGTGTGCTTGGTGTTGTCCGTGCGTGTCTTTGCCAGCAAAGTGCCTCATGCGTCCTCCTAGGTCGAGCTTTTTCCCACCGTCTGTTTTTTTTTTTGTGGCGCGGAACGCATCCCCGGTGTATGGAGCCAATCCCCCATACTTACGGCGTCGATTGCACGGGCCACGGATTTACTGGCGATCCTCGGGCGTACGCGGCGATGTACCGACGAGCCCCCTGGATGCCCCCCAGAAGGAAACGTGAGAAAGACTAGTCAGCTGCCGAGAGCGAAGATGTCCCCGAAGCACAAAAAACGTCGAAATTGTTTACAGACATGTACGGGACCAGTGGAGTGGTCTGTATCGAAGGGTGCCGGTCAAAGCATGTCCGCAAATCGTGGTCCAGTTGGTAGAAGAATGGGGTGAATGCCGCCGTCTCGAACAGCATACGTATGTTCGTTGGAATTGGCTCTGGTAGGGATCAGGGTGGTGCTCCCTCCTGCTCAAACTGAGATGCGCCATAACCCCTCCAGAGGCTGGCGGCAATGGCTTGTGCAGAGTTGCACGATAACCCATCGAGGTCCTCGCGGGAATATTTCTGACAAGGTGCACGATAGCACATCCAGAGCCTCGTGGCAATAGTTTGTGATGAGGTACACGATAGCCTATCCAGGTCCTGGCGGCAATAGTTTGTGCTGAGTTGCACGATAACGTATCCTGAGCCTCGCGGGCAGTATTCATGATGAGGTGTACGATAGTACATCCAGGGCCTCGTGGCGATGTAGCTTGTGCTGAGGTGCACGATAGCCCATCTAGAGCCTCGCGGGCAATAGTTTGTGAAACACTAGTCCCCCTTTGATCCTGGCACGACCACGGCCCGGCCCCCTTACCCTCCCCCTCCCCGGCCGGACGTTTAGGTGCGAACCCTCCCCGAGTTTCTGGTAGCACACCCGGAGGTGAAGCTTGTGGTGATGGACAGTGTGGCGTTTCACTTCCGACACGCCTTCCAGGTGCGCTGTGGCATTGCATGGTGATGGGAAGTGTTGGCACTTGTTTGGTACGGTATGGTTGGGGTTGTATTTTTGTTCATGTCGAAGGAATCCAACACCTGCTACAAAAGGAGAGGAAGAACGTGGGTACAGAGAAAATCGTTGGACCCCATGTGGTGCCCAAACCTTTCTGCGGTCGCTGCCGTGTGGCGTGAGTAAACGCAGTGATTGGCAGGGTTTCTCGCTATTGTGCCAGCCAGGTGCGTTTCGCCGCAACGTATTCAAGGCATGTTGCTCTTTCGGAAGACAGTCAGTAGAGGTGCAGGTGCTCTGAAACATGCGGTATAGATTTCCATGTGGGTGCACGCGGACGTAAGAATCAGCAGCCCTCTTTTTGGTGTGGCTTGCATTCTACAGCCTAAGCGTTTCTTCATTTTGATGTCCACAGTATTCAGTATTCAGTATTCAGTATTCAGAGAACAAATGTTGACCATTGTTGCGGCCCCTTTTCTTTGGGAGTAAGGCCAGCCCAAGAGCTTGCTTCGGAAAGATTCTTGTCCACGCAAAAGCCAACAAGCCTCTAACCTCAACCAGATACAATCGCACGCAAACACAAGAACACGACTGAACGCTGTTTTTCTTTTTCTCTGAACTGTGAGTAGTATTCCGTCATCGCCTCAAGACCACCGCACAGAGGACATGGGCGTTTTTTTGCTTTTTCTCTTTTTGTAATCTTCGTAAGCACGTAAGCACTTGGTGCGGTGTGGTGAGTGTGTCTCGTCGGTGGCTTCACACGATGACAACGGTACACAGCTCGCTTGCTTGCTTCGGTTCCCTGATACCATGGTATGCCGAAGAATCCAATCTACAACGGTAGCTCGCTTGCTTGCTTCGGTTCCTTGACACCATGGTATGCCGAAGAATCCAATCTACAACGGTAGCTCGCTTACTTGCTTCAGTTCCCTGATACCATGGTATGCCGAAGAATCCAATCTACAACGGTAGCTCGCTCGCTTGCTTGCTTGCTTGCTTCGGTTCCCTGTTTCCATGCTCTACCGAAAATCCGACCTCTCTTCTTGACCGCTGCCCGCCCGTGTGTCCAATGTCCCTTACGGGGGGTGTAGGACATGAGCGTGCGCACTCGTATGCTGAGCAGGATGGCGCAGCAGCTGAACGAGGTCGCGCAGGCGCACTCGCTAGCGGTAAGACGGACGGTACGGCGAAGGGAAAAATCACTTGCTGCTCGCGTGATGTCATTCTATCGCGCATCCCTTTCGCGACGGGGGCATTCGTATACCACCATCTCTCGGAGGGCTCTTGGAGTGCCTTCCGGCAACGAAATGGGCATAGCGTTAATTACAGCGATGTTCCTCCGTGTTACACGGTGTAGAGGTAGGTTGCGCGCAGCCAATTCTCGGTATATTCTTTTCTTCGTATGTGACGTACCGAATGGCCCTCTACGCCCCCCTACCCATCCATGTGACCCCCCTCAAAAGGTCCTGACATGTTGTAAAGTAGTGCGTAGGGATGCTTCATGTTTTAGTGGGGACCGATTCCGCTCAATACTGTTACCTCTTACTTATTTGCCAACCTGGGATGCTGGTCACTGAAAACAGGTAACTTACGACGGGCCTTCACCGAGGACCTTGCAGTATGACCAGCTGCGCACAAACTCTTATGGATTTGGGTCCGTGATGATGCCGTCGATTTCGTTTTCTTGTTTTCGTACGGTTGTGGGTTAGGGCTTGACCCCTAATCCCACTTGCTTTGGGGCGGGATATACTCCGTACCAGCACGTGTCTTAAACGAGTCTGTCCGACGCATGGTTGCACGGAATCGAGCCGGTTTTCCTCTTCCAGGCGGGTTATCTTCGTGCTTTCGCTTCGCCCACAACTTTTACCTCTGAGTAGTCTTTTTCAAGCTGTGTCCTTGATGAAATCACTGGAGGAGAGGCTTCCACTGTAGCATCGCGTTATGACGGTGAGTACACACCAAGGGAACCCGGGGAACGACTCCGCCCCCCACGATGACACCACTTTTGATGTTGTCAAACCCGAAACCGTACAATCTAGGTGGTCCTCGTGAACCAGATGACCACGAAGGTTATGACCGGACATCGCGGAGAGTCCTCGTTGGTCCCGGCGCTGGGGGAAAGCTGGGCACACGCCGCAACAAACCGGTGGGTCAGCTTACCTGTTGTTGGTGTTTCTGCTGTTGTTGATGTTTCTGCTGTTGTTGGTGTTTCTGCTGTTGGTGGTGTTTCTGCTGTTGTTGATGTTTCTGGTGTTGTTGGTGTTTCTGCTGTTGTTGGTGTTTCTGCTGTTGTTGGTGTTTCTGCTGTTGTTGATGTTTCTGCTGTTGTTGGTGTTTCTGCTGTTGGTGGTGTTTCTGCTGTTGTTGATGTTTCTGGTGTTGTTGGTGTTTCTGCTGTTGTTGGTGTTTCTGCTGTTGTTGGTGTTTCTGCTGTTGTTGATGTTTCTGGTGTTGTTGATGTTTCTGCTGTTGTTGGTGTTTCTGCTGTTGTTGATGTTTCTGCTGTTGTTGATGTTTCTGCTGTTGTTGGTGTTTCTGCTGTTGTTGATGTTTCTGGTGTTGTTGGTGTTTCTGCTGTTGTTGGTGTTTCTGCTGTTGGTGGTGTTTCTGCTGTTGTTGGTGTTTCTGCTGTTGTTGATGTTTCTGGTGTTGTTGGTGTTTCGGCTGTTGGTGGTGGTAAGGGGGTTGCTGCTACTCGTGTTTGGGGGTTGCTACGTTGTTACCCTTGGGGGCGAGTTTCATCTTTTCTTGGGCATACTTGCACCGCCGTGTCTTCTTCGCTTGTGTTCCGTGTTCAACCGTGCGTGCTGCTGCCGCTGCTGCCATGCCCAAACCACTGTTGGTGTCCGTCCATGCCAACTTAATGTTCGTCGACCCCCCCGCCCGATCCCGGCTTCCGCCCAATCCCTTCACAGTCTGCTCCTCTTGTGGAAGGGCCAAGAGAGGTTCGCCGAGCTTCTCAAATCTCCACGTCTCCGCCGAAAAACTGTTCCGTTTTCCGTCGTCGGCGTCGGCATCCGAGACACGCAATCTTCGCGAGCGGCGGCGGCGGCGGCGGCAGGGGCGACGGCGGCTAGCGGCGGCGGATCGAGTTCGGGAAAACGCTCTTCTTCCGCTTCGGAGGGACAATATCAAGCGGCGAAACGGCACGTTGGGCACCATGCGAACCAATCACGGACCTTGTAGCATCATGTTGCGAAAATCAATCAAAAAGTGTGAGAGTTTGTTTCGTGTTGGTCGAAGGTGTGTGTCTGTTGTTAGCATCGACCGCGCTACCCGGCTGAGCAATGAAAAGACGTCAGTCTCATTGTGGTTGAAAACAAAAAGTGCTTCCGAAGGCTACCACGATCTGGGACACCGTGAGGGGGTGTCATGGGGCAGGCTACATGATGTGTGTGTCTGTGCAGACATGGCAGAACGAGCGAAGGAAGGGAAAACGCATCGATTGGCGTGTGTTTTTTAATCTTCGAGCAAGAGGTGACGGCGTTCAAAGAGAGATCCGCCACGGTCCTCGCCGGGACATGATGTCATGTTTATCGAGGAACAAACAGCACATGTAGTTGCTGATGCAGAGACTTAGTGTGCATCCCAGTTCGCGCGCACGCGGTACAGACAGTGCTAATCAAAAGCGGCGATGTGTTCATGATTTTTGTAAGCGCTTTTCATGATGAGGAAGTGCAGGCACCGAGTTAAATAGTCTAGCTGGGCAAGTACGGACCAGGTGTGCCCTTTCTCAACAACAATCCAGACTCCAAATCCAAATTTGGTAAAGGCGAGTGTCTTTCGCAACTTTGAGGTGCATCGTTATCGGTCCTTCGCGTTTTTTTTCCTTTTTATGCAACGACTTTCGACCAGGAAAACACAACGATGTTCGACCAGAACAAGGTGCCGGCCAATGAAGCTGAAGCCGACTGAAATGAACATTCGTTGTCGACCAGATTCGCCTTCGTGTTCTGCTTCGCATGCGGACGCCCTGCTTACTGCTATGGCCTACAACGAGTGGTACATTGGTCGTTGCAATTTGGCTTCAACTCCCTAGGCGGCACCTGATACCGGTACTCTTGGACAACGAATCGAACAAAAGTCTTTCGGCTTCCGCTAGAGGCGCACACCTTATGATTGCGCGACGAATCGAAAAAGTCGTTGCACTACACGGCTACCGCTTCCTTACTATAAACTGATTGAAATTCGTTCCTTTCGTTTGGCTTTCGCCTCTGAAGTGCCTGTAATTACGTAGGCGGACACCGTTGGGCCACGAATCGAAAATTGATTGTCGTTGCATTGGCTTCGCTTCGTAGGCGGACACCTTATGCTGTTCGAGAGTCGTTGCATTTCTGCTTCGTAGGCGGGAACCTTATCCTGCTAAACGGGCCGATAACTGGGCGAGTGCAAGAGACAGGGAGTAGAGAATCAGCAACAAAGCAACACACTGCCTTTGGTATTCAGCATGATGGGGGGGGGCGTAAAGCCCAAGGGACACAAAACAAAGCAACTTTGACTGAAGACTTTTACACAAAAATGAGACAGAATCCTGGAGATGGTCCGCATTTTTCGATCTTGCGGAGCCCCTTGCTGGAACGAGCAAGGTGCAATGACACCGACACACACAACACAACGGACAGCGTTCTTTCACCTCGTGCCAGCACGGGTTCCCGGTGGTGCTTTCTACTAGCAGCTCTTTTCACCCTGTACTAGGAGAGGCGATTTTCCATCACGGCAATAGTGCTGGAACAATCTTGAATCCTGTCCCTACGAAGTTCTGAGACACGAAGGGAGACCGTGATCCGTTCCTCTGTGACGAACATACGAACACCAAAACCATTTTCGTGAGTCCATCGGGCAGCGAAGAGGCGGCAGCAATGATGCGGGATAGCAGCGGTGGGGATTTCGCGGCGACGGTCATCCCAATTACCCGGAGCTTGATATTCTGGGAATGCACGGAGGTCCGTAGGTGGCTGGAAGCGCTTCAGTTCGATTCCCAGGTATGTTACCATGTGGTCGCGTATGGGTCAGCAGCGAGGGTCTGTAGATTGTCGTTTAGGCCCAAGTTTTCGTGTGGAGCTATGCTTGGGTCTGGATACTAAATTCCATCAACACCCGATACCACCGACTATCCCGTGTAAGACTGGAGCTCCTTGTGCGTGTGTTGCGCCGCAGTAGATTGGAATCGCAGGTTCCAAGGTAAAGCATTGTAGTCGTGGGTAGAAGCAGTCAGTGTTGCTGGACCGGCTCTAAGGGAAGAGCTTAGACGTTCCGACAGCAGTTCATCCCGTTCCCAGAACAAATCCCCCATACATACTGTACGAGCTGAGGCTGCTGCGTGGGTGGCAGTTGCTTCGTGATGAGGGCACAGGAAGCGCAACAAGCAACAGATGAAGGCATCCACACGATTTCCATACATGTGTTATGGGGAACGGAGCTGACAGCAGTCCTTGTATGTTTCAGCAACAATAATTCCGTTTTGCACCGCTTGCAACAAACAAAGGCTGCCCACCATCGTGATCTGTGTTTTGTGCTCAGGGTACGGCGGTACTCGGGGTTCAAAGTTGCACCAATTTCGCTGTCTCACTCTTTGTCGTCAGTCGGATACGATGCAGGGACCCTACTATATTAGGCGGTGGGCTTTAGTAGTACATGGGTGGGCTGCTGCCCAAAAGACCGGCACTGCTGGACACTCGTCCCGGTTGCGTTCCCGAGTTATGTGTTGTAGTTATGTAGGGTTCACCAGCAGCTCTTATTGCACCGCCGGTGGTAAGCAAGGTAACATGACGTCTCTTATCTGTTTTCCTGGCGCGTCTGGGGCTCCCAACTCTCGTAGTCTGTCGCCGTTGTCAGTCTGGCTTCGCCTGCCGTGCCACTCTCATGCTATCGGTACACCGATTTCTGTTGGTTTACGCGGCCCTGATCTGCGATGTGGTTTCCTCCCCTGTCGACATCATTGATAAAGATTAAGATTGTACCATGTTCGTTCTCTCGTGTGGCAGACGCTTTCGGCGGTGTTTGAGAAGCGAGTTAGCGGCGCAAACCTGATCTCCATGGTCAACAGCGACCGCCTGGGCGAGCTTGGCATCACGAGGCTCACGAGGGCACAGCTCTTGTGGAACCTTAAGGCACGTTTAGAAGCTTGTTCGTGTCAGGACCCCTTACGCACACCTTTGGACACAATTGTAATTGTATCTATAACTCGTAGTATTTCTTCGCGTCAGACTCCTTTGCCCGATACGCGAAGCGCTCAGACCGTGTGTGTTTCTATCTACAGACATGGTCGGCAACGAGTGGCACGCTCACGTTGCAGACAAAGGTTGGAAGCGATTGGCAGACGCACGAGGTTGGGTTACCTTCCTCAATTTGTGACACGAGGATGATGCGTCCGAACGTATATATGGGCAAGGTGTACCTTTCTTGGAGGTTGCGCGGCTGATAGGGGGCAGGTTGCCGATGGTAGTAGTGCAAGGTGTACCCTTTCTTGGTGGTTGGTGCGCTGCCAACAAGCCGGGTAGGGGTCTAGCTGACGATGGCGGTGCAAGGTGTACCAGTTCTTGGTGGTTGGTGTGCAGATTGGCGCTATCAGTGGGATAGATGCGACGAGAACACGGTCAAGCTTGACGTTTCGATACGATGCGACACTCCGCATTGGCGCGCCCCCTGCCCCAACCGATGCCATCCCATTGATCATTTCCTTGACAATCAGCGACGAATCGACAAGGGTGACCAGAAGGCGGGTACAGCCGTCGACCCGACCGTGTTTCTGGGCGTGGAGGAGCGGCTGGAGGAGCTGGAGCAGGGGGGCGGTGGCGGTGGAGGAAACGCGAGCTACAGGCCTTACAGCGACAACCCCGACAGCGCCTCGGTAAGAGTCACTCTCTATTTTTAGCCTCCATTTTTGAGTGCAGTAGTGGTGCCGATATATCGCGGTCCCGAGTAGCCCGGTTCCCGATATGTATCGCGGAAACAACTCCTGGGTACAACAACCTAGCCTACTACAGCAGTCATCCGATATAAAAGGGTACCTTTTAAGAGGGGGCTCAGATATACGAGGGTCCAAATCGGTTGCCACGACTTCGACCCTCAATCCGGTACAAGAGGGGGCTCCGATGTATGAGGGTGTCGAGCCATTGTCACACCACCCTCTTACAACGGAGTCACGACTGTACCTAAATTGAGGGACCTTCCCCCAATAGCGCGGGTCCCGATATAGCGCGGTGATTTTTTTGCTGTCACTTGCCGCGATGTATCGAGTACCACCCACCACTGTACCTTGTGGAATGTCCGTGCGGAGTTTTGTAACGTGCCTTGGGCCGGGGCAGGTGCAGCTCACGAAGCACCGATGGCATGAAGTGAACGGTACTGCATGTGTAGCTTTTGCACTGCTTGCCTTCCCCCGAGCCTAGGGCGGTAGAGTGGCTGGCGGCGCCATTGGCGATTTAGCGTGTGATGCTTTGTGGCCATCAGAGGGCATGGTCTTGAACCCAGCTCGGCGTTGTCGGTGCAGCACTTGTCCCGAATGGACTCGCGGTGGATGCCATCTAAAATATCTTGTTTGTGCCCCTCCCCCCTTGTCTGTTGTCTCCGTCACAACAGCAGCAGCAAATGGTGCGGGCAATGCCCTCTCCGAAAAGGGTAGGGGGAGGCTTACCCGTGCAGTCGGAGGGGGCAGGAAGCGGCGAGGGGGATTTACTGGACTTGATGTCTATGGACATTGGTGGCGACGGCGGGGGCGCGGAGGGTGAGAGAGGCTATGTAGAAAGCTTACCCGTTTTGTTCTTTGCGCGTGCGGGATTATTTTGACATTTCCGCATACGGTCTTCGTCACTCGAAATGACTTTCGTACAACGTTTGTGATGCCGTCGCTGGCTACGTCTGCACGTAGGGTACAGCAGTATTTTCTTCTTTTTATGTATTCGATAATCAATCCCGGACACATTGCTCAGAATGATTGGCACTCATGGCAGTGCTCACTTGGTCATGAGCTCTTGTATTATCTTGGTGCGACTTCTTTTTTTTTTTTCTGGTACGTTACAGCTCATTCGGCGCCATTTCTCCTACAGGGTTCCTGCACCTATGTGTACACTTGCTGGGGGTAGTGAAAAAAAAAACAACCGCGACAACTGCTGTGCCTTCTTTCGACAACAATAGCAACAGCACAGCCACACCAACAATGGAAACGACAAGATCGCTCTGCCGTCTTCTGCGTCAATAATACCTGTCCGTGCACGAAAATATAAGCAGGTTCATCGCCAGAAAGAGCACCTGAGGACGGGTCTAGCGCCAATGAAGGGGACACCTTCCTTGCCATAGGTAAGCGGGGGGGAGCGTTCCATTTTCGTGATACTGCTGTGCCCCCGGGTCAACCTGCATGCCGGGACGGAACACCTTGATAACCTTCTGGGAAAATTGCTTGGGATGGGATGAAGCAAGCGTGGGTAAACGTACTGTAGAGACAGAAATCAGCCTGCTCTGAGATCACTGGGAATTGGTGTCGGCCCTCTCTCTTAAACGATCGTGCGGTGTGATTACCCTTGTCTCCTCCCCTCTTTGTCCATCTCCTACCACCCCCACCTCCACTTTCCCGCTCTTGTTGCAAGGGGGGATGCGGGGTGGGGCTGTCAAGGACCTAACCCCCGTGCTTCCTCCTAGGCTTTGCCTGGAATTTCAGGGAAACTCAGGGGCGCACACGTGACAACGCCCCGCCCCTGCCCACCTTCATGTTTCTACCCCCCCCCCCCCCCCTTT